CACCGGAAAGCTGGTCGGCACAACCCCCGAGTTCGATGGCAAGGATACCGAGGTCGCCATCGCCGCTGCCGCGGAGGCATTCAAGACTTTCCGCAAGACGACTGGCCGCGAACGATCCAAGATGCTCCGCAAGTGGTACGATCTCATGATGGAAAACTCCGAAGATCTCGCTACTCTGATTACATGGGAAAATGGCAAGCCTCTTGCAGATGCCAAGGGCGAAGTCACCTACGCCGCCAACTTCTTTGAGTGGTTCAGTGAAGAGGCTCCCAGAGTGTACGGCGACACGATCCCCTCTTCTGTCGCTGGCAACCGCGTTGTCACTATCAAGGAGCCCGTCGGTGTCTGTGGACTGATCACTCCCTGGAACTTTCCGGCAGCCATGATCACGAGAAAGATCGGCCCTGCGCTGGCTGCGGGTTGTACCGTTGTGTGCAAGTCTCCCGGCGAGACGCCCTTCACAAGTTTGGCCATTGCCGAGCTGGCTCACCGGGCCGGCATCCCCAAAGGTGTTGTCAACGTCATTTCAGCACTCGACAAGACGATCGAGGTTGGCGAGGTTCTTACCACCCACCCTACCATCCAGAAAGTGTCCTTTACTGGCTCGACTGGCGTCGGCAAGATCCTGATGAAGCAGGCTTCTTCAACTCTCAAGATTCTGTCCATGGAGCTTGGTGGTAACGCACCATTCATTGTGTTCGACGACGCCGATGTGGAAGCTGCTGTCGCTGGTGCTATTGCCTCCAAGTTCCGTTCGTCGGGTCAGACTTGCGTTTGCGCCAACCGCATCTATGTCCAGAAGGGCATCTACGACGAGTTCTCGCAAAAGTTCGCCGAGAAGGTCAAGGGCTTCAAGATGGGCAATGGTTTCGACGAAGGCATTACCCATGGTCCCCTGATCCACGGCCGTGCCGTGTCAAAGGTCGAGGCGCACATCAAGGACGCCACGAGCAAGGGTGGTCAGGTCATCGTCGGTGGTCAGAAGCTGCCTGACCTGGGCGAGAACTTCCACGAGCTTACTGTCATTACTGGCATGACCAAGGAGATGGCCATTGCTTCCGAGGAGACTTTCGGCCCTGTAGCCGGACTGTTCCCATTCGAGACCGAGGCCGAAGTTGTCGAGCTTGCTAATGCTGCCGAGGTCGGCCTGGCTGGTTACTTCTTCTCCAACAGCATGGAGCGTATCGGCCGTGTTGCTGAGGCTCTGGAGGTTGGAATGGTCGGTGTCAACACTGGTCTCATCTCTGACCCTGCCTCGCCATTTGGTGGTGTGAAGCAGTCTGGATTTGGCCGCGAGGGATCAAAGTATGGTATTGAGGAATACCAAAACATCAAGACCATCACATATGGAGGTATGGGCAAGCCTCTGCAGGGATCCTCGTAAAGGATGGTATGATGTGGACGAAATGACCAACAGCTCAAAAATGACTGTGAGAATGGGAGAATTTGATACCTGGCGTGCAATTCTATTGTTATGAAAATATTGATTTATGCTGGTATATATGGCGCAACAATTAACATTTGAATTGAATATTTATCAACCAAAGACTTACCTTGGACGATTCACCTTACTTTTGCGCCTCGTCATACAGTTACTGTGAACCTGAATCACTGAGTATGTATCAACAGTGGCTCACGGAGTTCCAAGTTATTTGAAGATTCATTCCGTCTCTGAAAATTGTATTTGTAAAATTTGATGTTAAGTTCACAGAAATAGAATATATAAAGCCTATACGTAGGCCAGTCACCAGTCACTATACATCAGGGGCCTTGCAGAGAGTAATGCACGGACCGCCGAGCTAACATAGCTCCACTACCGATTTTCCAGTACTATCACGAAATTTCCCATTTCGCAGCTTCCCATTGCCAGTGTCCAGCGGTCAGCAGCCAACAGACGACCCCAATTAGCCCCCAATGATCCGGCACTCAATACACAATGGCCTCGGCCGGGGCAGGCCAGAGCTTTCGCGTCTCAGCGAGGGTATATCGGCCTCTCTGCGCCAGTTCTCCGCCGCCCAAGCACGCTGCGCCGACGAAGGCAGAAACAACGGTGGAGCGCGCTCCTCGAGCCGACAACGGTCCGCCGCCGCCGCCAGCGAGATGCTGTCCATGAACGACCAGAAGAGAAACAAGACGTCGAGCACAACCAAGCCATCGGTACCCCGGACCTCCCCTCAGGCCAAACCCCTCGGTGTCGGCTCCGCTGGCGGCGCCCCGACTAGTACTGGATTTACCGGCTTCAGGAGGGTAGACGCCAAGGACCTGGTTAAACCCTCGCCCGGAGCCGGCGCTCCGGGAGTTGTTGCAGCACCAGGCGCTGTAATCCGTGGTGGTTTCCGGGGCCGAGGCGGTGGTGCCTTTGCAGGCCGAGGTGGTGGTGCCTTTGCAGGCCGAGGTGGTGGTGCCTCTGCAAACCGAGGAGGCGGTTTCTCCGCGAGCCGGGGAGGTGCAGGAGGAGCTGGCGGCGCTTTTGGCCAGAGCCGCGGTGGTGCGCGTGGTGGACGTGGCGGACGTGGGCGCGGACGAGGTCGCCGAGATGGAGACGACCGACCACAGCGACGTGGCCGAGAGGACTTTGCCGCGAAGCGAGAAGAGCAAGACTTCCAGCGGTTTAAGGCCCAGAAAATGGGCCAGACTACCGAGCTTACGGAGTACCTGGAAGCCGTAGAAAACGGCGTCGACAGGTCATACCAGCCCGTCGCGCCCAAGGACCTTCTGGCCTCGCTGGCCGGCTACGCACCCGCAATTGCGTCGAACCCCTCGACGCTCGCCAAGGAGGCCACCATCATCACCCAGGCCGTCGCGCTGGGTGGCGGTCGACCCTACCATCCCGAAGACTGGCCATCGCCTGTCGAAGCACGGAAACAGTACAGACAAGGCCACGGTATCTTCTTCCCCAACGAAAGGGCCAAGGCTTGGGTGGAGAACTTTAGCAAGCCTAAATTCCAAAGCCCACCCAAGGAGACACAGACAGCCGTCCTGGATGCCGCCATCTTGGGCAGATACGAGGGACCCAGACATGCCGAGCTCAAGGACACAATTGGTACAGTGAGGAGTTTTGTCAAGCGAGACGGTACATGGAACATGCCGGCTGAGAGGAGTATGGAGGCAAAAATCAAGACCCTGCTACCTGGCGCTGCACAATCAGGGGCAGCAAAGGGCAGGGGCCAGGCCAAACGTGCCTGAGGGCGTTCACATGGAAAGTGCCCCAGTTCATAGAGAGAAGGACAATAAATGTGCATCATGCGGCGCTGTAACAACATCTGTTTATAGTAGTGTACATCGAAAATACACAATCCCAAAAAGTACAAATCATCTTTTTGTTTTAATGCAAACCACAGCTGCATGTCCATTCGAGGCGATCCTGAATCCATACCAGCCCATACTTGTCACAGTAGATCATACTTGACACAAGTGAAACTTGGCTATTTGCCCTCGGCAGCTTTCAATGCGTCCTTCTCCGCGGCGTCAATCTCGGCAACCTTGGCCTTGATGACCTTGTCGAGCTCCGTGTCGGCCTTGCGCTTGGCGTCGGGCAGGAGGAGGCCGTCCTTTTTCCAGGCGGCGTGGACCTTGTCGCGCTTCTGGCGGACCTGGCGGACCTTTTCGCGCCACTCGTGGCAGACGTGCTTGGCGCGGCGGGCCACGTCCTCGCGGCTCTCGAGCTCCATCTTGAGCACGAGCTCGAGCTCGTTGTCCGGGTCGCGCTGCGGCTGCTGGTTGAAGTCGCGCGAGGACTGGATGGCGCTCATGATGGGCCTGATCGAGGCCTCCTCGTGCACCAGCAGGGAAATGGTGCGCCCCCCTTTCGGCACCACCTGCGCCAGCTCCCGCAGAGGGTACGTGGTCGCCTCCTTCTTGTCGGGCTGCACCCGCAGCGCCCCGATCGCGTCCGGGTTGAAGCGCCCTCCGCTCTTGAGCTTCTTGAGCGCCTCCGTGGGCGCCTCGGACGCCTTGGCGAGGCGCGACTGCACGTCGGCAAAGTCGAGCGGCTCCTCGGGGTTCGGGGTCGGGTGCTGCGAGCTTCCACCGTCTCCTCCTCCTCCAGAGGATGATTTCGAGGCGGTGGCGGGCGCGGACGAGCTGTCGTTGCCCTTGTTCTTGCCGCCCTTGGATGGGCGTTCCTCGGCGTGTTTACCCTTGCCGCCCTTCTTGAGGCGACATGGCGTTGTGTGTAATGGTCGCAATGGGACGGAGACGGCGAACGATTGTGAAGAAGAAGAGCTTGCTGCTGCTGCCCTCAGGGCGGCGCTTGTTGGGCGGACTGCATTATGTGTGCTGTGTGTTCATACTTTGTTAGCTTTTGACCCGGTATAGTGATACCAATTGGCTTCACCTACATTCCGCGCAGCTCACACAGAGCTCTACCTTGCCTCCAGAGTGTTGCGGCGGTTGTGCCTCTCATGATGAAATTGTACTGCTTTTTGGTTGAAGATGGAGCTCCACCTATCTAGCCGGCGCAATATGTGAAGCTAGTCACTTTCCAAACTGCCTATGCACGAGCTTGGCAGACATAGCAGAAGGTTCCCAGGTTCCAACGCTTCACTTCAACTTGCCCATCAAACCAGGAGAACACTCAAGTCTGATTGTTTGCACCTGTCAGATTTCAAAATCACAATACCCAGGAAAGATTTAAAGGCAATAATATACTTTGCAAAAGTCTTTTATAAAAAGAACACCTGCAAGCTGGTTGGCCAATGATACCAGCCGCAATGATGCTGAACAGCACTTATTCGTCTGATTCCAACCACCTTGCAATTGATATGGCTTTTGTGTGAATTTCTTTTTTAGATTCAGTCTGGGTATTATACTATTCTGATTCTCCGTGAGCTTTAACTCTGCCCCTGTAACAAAACATTTATGGCAGTCGTCTCGACACCCAACGGTATACCACAGAGCGTAGAGACTTGACCACTTCCAGATCCAGACCACATTGCCAATGTGGAGCTACTGTCTTAATGTCGTATAAGCCGATCTGACATCATCCACATCCAAAGGAAGTCGAATTGGCCTAGTGGTTAGGGCATCTCCTTTACAACCTTATCATGATTGATTCGGAGAGGATCGCAGGTTCGATCCCTGCATTCGACATTTGTTTTTGTCTATTTGGAAGAATATTTTTTGCGTTTCACTGAGCAAGCAAACACTTCTTCTTATCCGGTTGGACCATAGCGGTCCTGGAGGCTTTCTTTTTCTGCTCCAGATTGTGGTTACCCGACCAATAATTTGAAGATCGACTATCCAAACGACCTGTATGAAGCAATTTGACCACTTGTCAACTCGTGCACGTACGAACTTATCCAAGTTCGCAGAGACGATTGCTTTTATTCAACAGGATAAAACTTTGATCTCACGACCGCATATACTTGGGCCCGATGGAGGAGACACGATCAAAAGTGCAGGCGCCTGGCGGCAGTATTCATGTAAGTGTACTAAGATACGGCTTGAAAGGAGGTAGCCGCCATTTGAGGACATTGGTACTGATGCACCTTGAACCCGAACGCTAGAATCAATATTGCCGGAGTTGTAGGCAGACCTGGTCATGCAGCATGAACGGGTTGCCGGAGAGTCACTGGTTATTTATATTTCCAAGGTGTTCAATGTATCGCTGCACTGGGCCATAATTGGCGACTTATCTTGCTATCCTGATGTCTTCTAGTGCCGTGGTGAATGTATAAACGCAAGAGCTACATATGATGGGTAATGATACCTTAAGGTACGCCATAGTCGAGAGACGCCATCACAGTCAAGCGATGGGTTTTGACGGTACCACAGCGATCAAGAAGTCGGGGATCATATGTACATCTGAGAATGTCCAGATGAAGTCCTTGAAGCTCGCCTCTCTTCCGTGGAACATACTCAATACAACCAGAGATGTGGTACAATGTGATTTTTCGGGAAGCTGTGGAAAAGTTTGACATAACTAAAAAGGTCACTGGTATTACAGAGTTGAATCATCAATTGATCCTTCAAAGGCTCCTCTGCGAATGCATCAGAAGAGCCAAGAAACAAAAAGAAATACATACAATAACTAGAGCTAGAGTCGGAAAAGATGCAATTTTGTACTGTAGTACGATATGGCTGGTTGATTGGCAACATGAAACCAGACAGACCCTGGTCGCCAATATCGTCATAGCTTGAAGCTTGGACCTTGCAGCTCGATTGAATGATAGCGGGCAGGCGGGCGGAACTCGTCTCAGGCAGGCAGCATCAAAGTGCAGTGCAGCGCAGCTCCCCAGTGCTCCATCCCCCGCCACATTTGTACTACCGATCGGCAGCTACAGCGCAGCTTGCCCACCATTGACGCCCTATCAACCTCAACTACGTCGTCGCCTTGTCCAGCTGACAAGACTGACGGAACGCAAGACATTCTACGCACCTCACATCGGCCCGAGGAGGACCTGCAATTCTTACAAGATTCCCATCGACAATCCCACGGCAATTGACAGACCTGGATGACAATCGCCGACCCCTCAGCCAGTATCCATCCAGTCGTCGCAGTCGTTGGGCAAGCCAACCCAGACTCGCTCCAGTCAGCCCACCATGGCCGTCATCGACCAGCATGACAACTTTTCCAATGTCTCGTGGCATAGCGACAGACATGATACTGCCGATATGACTGCCTCTAGCTCGTCGAACCCCGTATTCGATGATTCTGAGCCCATCGGCGCGCACCACCCAGAGATGGAGGAGGATCCAGAGCGGATAGACCCCGGCTTGTCCGGCGACATCCTCAATTGTACTGTCACAGAGCCGCGCAAGGAAAGCGATGGCACAAAAGATGCCTTTGTATCATACCTTGTTACAACTAATGTGAGTTCGAAAATGCTGGATTTTGTGTGTGCAAGGCATGGAAAGAACGGTCGTTATGCTAGTCTACAGCTTTCCTCACACCAATCTGCTTGTCCCTGTCCGGTACGCAATTACTGACAGCTTCTTGTGATATTACAGTCGTCATTCCCGTCTTTTCAGAAATCGCACTTCACTTCGCGCCGGCGCTTCACAGACTTTGTCTTCCTGTACAAGTCCTTGTCCAAGGACTACCCGGCATGTGCTGTACCGCCGCTGCCCGACAAGCAGCGCATGGAGTATGTGCGCGGAGATCGATTCGGCCCCGATTTCACACATCGCAGGGCCTTTTCGCTACAGAGATTCCTGACGCGACTGGGCGCACATCCAATTTTGCGCCGAGCACCCATTCTGCACACCTTTCTCGAGAGCCCAGACTGGAATGCAACCATGAAGAGCCGTTCCGCCCGAGGCAGCGTTAATGTCGAGCCTGGCAGCGGTGGCGTATTCGACAACTTTGCCGATACCTTTATCAACGCCTTCACCAAGGTTCACAAGGCCGACAAGCGCTTCATTGAGGTCCGTGAGCGCGCTGATAAGCTCGACGATGATCTGGGCCATGTTGAAAAAGTTGTTGCTCGCGTTGTGCGTCGGGAGGCCGATATTGAGACCGATATGCGGGATCTGGCTGAGCAGTTCCAGAAGCTCATCACCCTCGAGCCTGGTGTCGAGAGCGCTGTACATGCCTTTGCCGCCAGCGTGGAGGATGCAAGCACAGGACTCAGAAGACTAAAGGACCATACCGACCAGGATTACCTAGGCAGCTTGAGGGATATGAGTGCTTACAGCATGGCTCTGAAAAATCTCTTGAAAGCACGTGAGCAGAAGCAGCTGGATCACGAGCAGTTGACAGAATATCTCAACAAGTCGACCTTGGAGCGAGATGGACTAGCCTCAGGCTACGGCTCTTCGGGTGCCGGCGGTTTCATTCGAAGCAAGATTGAGGATGTGCGAGGCGTTGACCACGAGGCATCGCGGCGGGAGCGTCTGCGCAAGCTCGAAATTCGTATCGACGAATTAACGACTGAAGCAGAGCGTGCCAAGAAGACGAGCGAGATGTTTGATGAGGAGGTTGTCAAGGAGGTTGTCGATTTTGAGCGCATCAAGCGCATCGAGATGAAAAAGCAGTTTGGCGGCCTGGCTGATTCTCATGTTGAGTTCTACGGCGGTCTCATTGAGATTTGGGAGCGGTACGTCAAGGAGATGGACGGGCAGGTGAGCGCATCGTAATGAGAGAGAAAAGACGTGCTGAATTGTGGACTTGGTTTGATGTTAAATATCCAACTGCTGGATTGAGCAGAAGAGGGCGTTGAATGGTCTGAATGGGATTCATGCAAGCACCACCAAATTTTAATACAAATGGCGATTTGTTTGCCCTATACTCCTGTTAGAATGGTCCTTTATCCGACATGATTTCAAAAGTCACAAGCCCAACATGTTGGTCACTATGTAAATGTCCGAGTGCGATTTGCATGTCGAGTGTTCATATTTGCAGTCACGTCTATTTCGTAGATTGGCTGATGAGATGCGACGCGACAGAGGAAATGTGGAGAAAATATTCATTTTGATTCAATGCTGGTCCCTGACCCCCTTGATTCCGAACGCCGTCCAATGGTCTTTTCTAAATAAGCAATGATGATGGATATCGGCTTAGATATTGACAAGTCTTCATTCTGTAGCATGTCACATGAGAGAGGCAAGCTCGGCCGAGCTCCCTTTTCTACCGGCCCAGCAGCCTGGAGCTCTGCTTCTCGTTGCCGCCCTGTTCCGAGACGTCGCTGTCCACGCTCCTTCGCCCGGCACCGTGGGCGGCAGCAGCAGCGTCATCATCCTCATCATCACTACCGCCAGCAAAGGCATCGTAGAGCTCACCGCCACGCTTGCGCTTTGGTTCGCCTGCACCCGTGAGGCCCTCAGTCTCGTCGCCGTCAATTAGCTCAAACTCGTACGAATCGCGGGGGCTGGCACGGCGGCGGCGGACGATCCACCACCATGCGCCAAGACCGCAGACAAACAAGCCAATGAGACCAAGTGAGCCGTAGATCCAGGCTAGAGTGTGGGGAGAGGCACCAAATGTCGGCAAGAAAGACGGGACCCAGGAGCTTGCCGCAGAAGTCTCGGCAGCTTCCTCTTCGGTCGTGCCAGTCTCGATCGGCAGGCCGTCGGTGCCGGTAGGCTTTGTAGGCCGGTGAGGGTGGTCATCTGGAAGGTCGGTAGGATGCACAGGTGTACCAGTCTGATCAGAGCCTGCAGGCACGGTGGTTGTTCCGGGGGGAATGGTGGTGGTAACAATCTTGTCGTGGTCGTCGTCATCTTGCTCAGTGGGCATTGGAAGCAATTTGGCCTTGGAGGCATCGATTGTTTGACCCCAGAGCTTCAGATGCCAGTCGATGAACTTTCCTTTGTGGGAATCGACCTTGGAGTCCCGGATAATGATCGTCCACGTACCAACACCCTTTTCACCCCTGCTTTCAGTTAATATTGACGGAAGAATGAAACTTCAAGGGAGAAAAAGGAACTTACCAATGAGCTACACTCATGAATGTCCAGTCATCGTAACCATCCTTACTGGAATCAAATTTACGAGTAGTCGCAATGTGACTGGTCACGCCATCCGGACTGATGAGATCAACACTTAGATCACCCCGGTTGGTGTGCTCAACGTTCATGGTGACAGTAACATGCTCAACGTTCTCCAAGTTTGCCTGCTTCAACATGTCGGCAGTGACTTCAAAGGTCGAGGTGAGGCCAGTATTGCCCTGGGGAATTTCCTGCTTGATATGAATCCATGGGGAGAAGAACCAGGCTTGTGGCTTGACATTTTGCCAAGTCTTTGCAACCTCGACAAGTTTCCAGCTGTCGACTTTGCCGTAACCAAACGTGTGACTGAACTTCTTGCCCATCGATGTATCTTGCCACTCTTCAGTGTCAAGGTCAATAGGCACGGCACTTTCGATAGCAATGTACTGCATATCACGCCAGCTGAGATCATTGCGGACCTCCAATGCAAGAGCGAAAATGCCAGCCGCCAAAGGTGCGGCAGCTGAAGTACCACCGTGGCCGTTGTAGCAAGCATTCTCTCCTACGTCTGTAGTGTGGATAGCATCACCACCTCCACTGCTGTACGTAACCACGAGTTGGGCAGAACACTTCTCCGAATAGTATGGGTGCGCCCCCTTACGGTCCAGAGCACCAACTGTGATACTGTAGATGGAGTTGGTGTATCCGTCAAAGTTACAGTT